ATTTAAGATCACCGAGAGCTTATTGGTGAAATTGACTTTAGTCATCAGCCCCGTTTCTTGCATCGGATTGGTCAGTTTTGGGTGGTGTTGCCAAGGATAGGGTGGCTAGTAGTGTAAACTTTGATTGTCTCGTGTGAAACTTATCGCTAGATTCGCAATCTCTTCTTAGAACTATATCAAGAAAGATCGTCGTCCGTTACGAATCCACGGTATTGGATGATGATAAACAGATTCCTTTTCGAGTTTCAAAGGTGTAATCTATGATTTCTAAACTTCCGCAGCAACTTGATATCTAGTCTTTGTTCAATTAGCATCGGTCACCGGTGTTGGGTTTTATCTCCAAGGGTATGGAGTTACTACTATGAATTGATTCAATTATTTATTCGTCTATCGAAAGAGGAATCTATTGCGATCTTTTGTTTTGAACGGATCGTGGTCTCTATGTCTGGAATTTCATCGCCCTCAATCCCGTGGTTGATATTTAGATCCATGGTGAAAAATAAGGGGTAGATTACTCTTTGATTACTCTCTCTATAAACAGTCCGAGACTGTTATTAACTACTTATATTTCATAAATAATATCCGAGTGACAACGATCGATCTTCCACAAAAGAAAAGAATCGTGGAGTCTACAGGACGTAACAAGACAGTTACGTAATAATTTCAAAGAGTGGCATGGATCAAGAAATACTGATACCTTTTTTTGTGTCGTTGGATGATAAAAGTATGTCTGAAAAAACGTTGAAGGTGTTAAATTGCATCCTAACATTTTGCACACTCTAAAATTAACAGAAGCTCCGTCGAAAGTCATTGCTATTATATTTATATTATGCTCATTCAAAGCTATTAATGCTTGAGTAATTAAATTAGATTTCTATTTAGCATTCAATCCCTTTATGAAATAATATCCTATGGGAATTTTCCAAGATTGATTTATTACATTTACTAAAAACACTAACAACGCTTCTATTACTATAGTATTCTTGCACTCAATATCAGAACCTATAAATCGATGTACCCTCTTATTTTTTTACCGTCAAATTCGACATGATGTCTTATATGTATTTCATCGAATATAAGAACGCCAAAGAGAGGATAATTGACTAGTTCGGCACGTTTTTTGATTGACTGTAATGCTTCCTTATTTAAACCCGGCTCACCGTTCACCGATTTGTACCATTTAGAAATTGTTTTAGGATGAGGTAAAGAATAATCAAATTTTTTTCTGACATGCGTATGCTCGTGGCGAGTAGAAATGTAATGTTAGAGCAAACGCTCTTAATTCGGGTTCATATTGATTGCGTATTTTTGTTTTAGCAATATTTCTCCCTTGACGTAATAACAATTGTTTATTAAATGTACTGTTACGTCCGAACTCCGGTCATGTGTGCGGATAGGTTTAGAGAAAGAAGGAGTAATAAGGTTGGAGCAAGGAAGGACGTTAGAGCAGACGCTGTGTCTCGCATGCATCCGCGGGAAAGGGATAGAGCGAGTCGAACGCACCTTTTATAGCTCTGGAATATGGGTCAACGTCCTGAAGGGACGCTATAACACCTGTTTCCAACGGGCAGTGCGAACGTCGGTCCGAATTTTGAGTCAAGAAACTTAATCCTTGTAACTCGGGACCGGACCACATGCGATCTCTGTCGAGCAGTGGGAGTAGGTACGAGGTCTTACGATTCTAAAATAAATGGAGATTGAAATCCGTCATTTTACAAATACTCTATTTTATTGTTAACACTAAATCTTACAAAAGTATAGCCAAACATTATTTTTAATTGGATTTAAGGTTAAAATTTAAGTCTATCTTTATAAAATAATACTAAACAAACTCTCGTTACAATTTAACGTCATATCTCTCGCGAAGGATATTAATTGGATACGATCGACTTATTGTTACAAACTCTATTAATAATTACACCTAATAATAAGAATATATATATATATATCTATACATGCGTGCATGTGTCCTCGGAAATTTGAAATATCATGGTGGTCGTGACTAGGTCTATGAGGTAATTGTGTGAGTGTGTATAAGAGAGGCGATACAGGAATTAAGGTACTTCATGAAGTACAACGGAGGAAGGGGGG